ACGTCGGCCGTTAATGAACTTTATGAACAATGTGCGGGCCCCTTCAGGCGACAAATTTGTTTTTGGCGAGGTTGGGTCCTTGCACCGACCGTTAAAAAAAATACCAAAAAAATAGACTAGGCTCAATCACGGTTACATCTTGTGAAAGCGTTTAAGTCACGATTTCTCGAATGTTGCTCCAAAACGACAAAACCGTGAATGTATATAACATAGCTTTATAATCAGGTGGGGTGTTATATTCGAGGGGTGAATGAAGTGGATTTAAAACTAAAATCGTAACGAGAACCTACTAACAAATTAAAAAACAAAAGCATTTGTTGGAGGGGGGATCTAACTCCCCACGGATGGGCATAAGGCCGATGTGGGGTAGAGAGCAAACACTCTGGCAGCAAAGTAGAGCAAACACTATGAAACATAAACATGAGAAAGTGTCCACGACTCGACACAAGAAGATCATGCACTCATCGAGAAATGATCGAAAATCACATAAAAAAAAAAAACAAAAAAAAACAAAAACATGGGTGTCGATACACCTAATGAAATGTTAAAATACACGGCTAATCTCGATTCGAGCATAAGGGTCTCGCCACACCACTCCCGATTCATGCTCTCAAGTCTCGAAACTCATGAAATCTCTTTTGGGCATACTCTCGAGTTTCGAAACTCGTCTAATTTAGGGCAATTTCGAAAAATTGAGAACATATTGTGAGTATGTTTTCGGTCGCGACTTTCACAAGTGCAGTTGGTTTAAGACCAACCAATTCAATTGTGTGTCGATTGTGGACAAGATGACATTTTTTAACATTTTAGTATTCCGAGAAACAAGGTAGCCGCCAGTCTTAGCTCAAGCCTCTAATTGATATTGAACATGCGTGGGTTGCACTCGACCTGCAAGTGGACTATACCGAACAGGGGTTAGGTAGTAGCATCACAACCAAGTTTCATCGAAAAAACAGTCGTTGTTCCTCGCGCTTGGTCCATCCCCCCTATGAACATCAATAGTCTCTGCTTCTGCTTAGGGGCACCAGTGACCTATCTTCAGGTGGCAGGCACGAAGCATACCAAACAAGGTCGTAACGAGACTATAATCGGTTAGTACACCCATTTCTCCCTAAACTACATGCTATAGTTTAGAAAGTCGTGGATAAACTACTTCGAGTTGTTATTCCTCCTCCTGCTCTTAGAGAACTGAATTGTTACTCTATTTATCCGAAGGACATCTTTGTCGGGGGAACAAAAAAATGAAACAATTCACAGAAGAAGAAAAACGACACAGCGAAAAAAATAATGACATAAATAAAATGTTGAATTATATATAGCTAAACATATAGAGAGGGCAACATTGGTTTTAACAAGCATTAATTATGTTTTTCCCGGGGATTGGCCTTCGTTTTATCCAATCTTCGTATGTGTTTATGTTTTTTCTTCGAAATGTCTTTTATTAATTTGCTAAAAAACAACCCAATCGCGGTTTACATTAAGCAATCGTGGCCACGACCCAAGAGTTAGTATCTATGGTTCAACCCTGACCCTGGTCACAGAGAACAAAGCAAAAACTCTTCAGTCTCGTACCCTGCAGTAACGAAAATCTCATTTTAACAAACAATGAATTATGAATTGCATTGTTTTTCTCTAAACTTTTATGAAGTTATAGTCTCATCTCTAATTATTAAACTACCTGCACTACAATTTTAAAACCAATACCGAGAACCCTAATAAATATGCCGTTTTTATATAATGAAAGGGATGCATGTTGCCCCCATTTTAATCACCTTTGGTAAAGGGGTAGGTTGGGGCTACCAGTGTGGGAAGGAATAGGACGAGGGGATCATGCGGGCGCAACTGTTACGAAACTTTTGAAGCATTTATCGAGTAATTGTGCTTCCGATGTATGGACGAACATATAGAGACGGTGACACAGAGAAACAAATAGAAAGGTTGACAGGGATACAAACAAAAGATTGTTTCTTGGCTCTCGGTCGGTGAGAGAGAATGAAATGTGTGATCCCAAAGAAGGATATAATAGTCATCGCCCCTGATCATTTTCTCAAAAGGGATGTTGGATCAAAGAGCAGCAAAACAAAATGCACATATACCGCATGGGCTCTCAAGGAAAATGTCAATAATAATAGGGATTTCATACAAGCAAGCAACATGAAATAAATAAATGTAGGTTATTTCACAAATAAAAGTTGATCACATACGGGATGAGAACAATAATGTTTCCACCATAATTGTACAAAAATGTAGGACATGAGACGAAAACATCAATAAATATACGCAAAACGAAAAATAAACAAACATGAGTAAGATTTATGCTACCCATGGCGTCTCAAAAGAATATTCTTCAATCATGATGCAATGTCTTTATGATGTATAACTGAAAAAAACATTATCCCAATTTCGTTCACATTCCACGGGCGTGTGTAGGGTATTGCATGTTGAAAAATATATAATGCACATGCATGACTACTAAAACAATGAAGTCAAGTTTACACAATAATCGCACTAAAATGTAGGTCATCAGAGAACAACGTGTGGTGAATGGACAAAATATAGAAAACAACATACTTAAATAACATTTTTGTATACATAAATAACATTTTTGCTACCCATTTCTCTCTCCTTCTCTCCCTCTCTCTCTCTCTCTCTCTCTCTCTCCTTCTCTCCCTCTCTCTCTCTCTCTCTCTCTCTCTCTCTCTCTCTCTCTCCCCCCCTCTCCCTCTCTCTCTCCCTCTCCCTCTCTCTTGTCTCGCAATTTCAAAGCGCCAATTTTGACGATATTTTAGTGCTCAGAATTATTGTCAGGATAATCTGAAAAATTGGAACTCCATAGATTACGTCGTGATCTTTCAAATAAAAATATGAAAAGCAACATTTAGACAGCGAAATACATGTCGTGCCAATTTGACATATTTTCCATTTTTGCCACTCTGACACATGTGGGCCAATGAAAAAAACGCTTTGACTTTGGCAAATTTTCGTGCATAAAATAATAGCTATAAAAATCTGAAAATTTAGGATCGCTTAAAGTATGTCGTGAGATTTGCAAGAAAAAATATCAGAAAGAAAAAAAGAAAAATCATTTAAATCGCGAATTACACGCCGTGGCGGCCGTGCCAATTTGTAATTTTCTTGTTTTTGCCACTCTGTCGGTTCACCTGACTATGGTAGCGGTACCCCTCATGAATTTGTGCCACCAGTCCTTCGGGACATTTGTTAAAATTGGAACGATACAGAGAAGATTAGCATGGCCCCTGTGCAAGGATGACACTCATAAATCGAGAAATGATTAAAAAAAAAAAAAGTGCTCCACTGGGCCCCCAAATATTTTAGTGGCGGGGGGAGTGGTGGTTTAATCTCGGGCGTGGCCTAGACATCTTGGCTGTGACCCCACCATGCTATGAGATGCTTTTTTGTTTTTAATAATAATGGGCGTAGCTGAGACATCTCGGTCGTGGCCCCTCCACATGACGCGATTTTTTTTTTTTTTTTTTTTTTTTTTTTTGCATGACCGAGACTTTTTTTTTTTTTGAATGTGGCCGAGAAATATCGATCGTGGCCCACCATGCCATGCGGGAAAAAAAGTGAATTCCCTTAAGCCACCAGTACCTTACTCAGCTATCGGTCGTGGGCACTCCCGTATACGCGCCGCAGTCCTTGGGGGGTTGGCCAAGGGAAGGCCTGGTCGCTGCGCGAAGGCCGGGCTCCGCTTCCCTAGGAACGACACACTTAGAGAAAACAAAAAAAAGGAAAGAAGGGAAAAAAAAAAAAAAAAACACAAACGAAAAAAAAAACGAACGGACAAAAAGTTAAACCCGCGCGGGAGAGAGAGAGAGAGAGAGAGAGAGAGAGAGAGAGGCGACGATGTGAGTAGGTCATGTGCTGCTTTGCTCCGTGTTGGATGTGTGGACGTCCTCGTCTGCGCTCCGCCGCTGCCCTGCTGCCTGTCTCGCTTGCTTCGCATGTGGTTCTTTGCAGGTTGATGTGTTCGCTGTGCGGTGTGACCGTGTTGTTGGTGTTGCCTTGCGCTTCGCTGCTCCGCTGCCGTGCTGCTCATCTGCTGGCCGTGCCTTCCGTGTTTGTTGTGCAGCCGTGTTGCCTCTACAGGGTTGCCTGGTGCTCCACAGGGTTGCTGTCCGCTGCTATGTTCCGATTAGGGGCACTCTGCCTTCAATAAGGGTCAAAGGGTTCATGACCCAAGCCATCAAATACGGAGACTTCGCAGATTGTCGAGGGTTCAGCCTCCTGATGAGTCGGTGCAGTTCCGACGAAAAAACATTTCATCATCAGTTGTATTTATTTTTTCCGGTCTTTGAAACTTATGGACTTGTATTTTTTTTTTGATTCGCCTGCCTTGTGTACTTGTTGTTGTCTGTCGTCCTATATCCCTCGTGCTTTCCAGTCTTTGCCTTGTTTATACTTGTATTTTTTTTGCGTGTTGTTTGTGCTTTGTTATCGTTTGTCTTGCTGTTGTTTCCCGTGTTGCCTTGCGCTATTTGCTTGCCCATCCGTCTACCCCATGCCTTTCACCCAGTGTGCTTTGTTGTTTTGTGCTGTTTGCCTGCCCACCCGCCTCCCTTATACCCTCTAGCCTATATGCTTTGCTGCCTTGTGTTGTTTGCCTGGCGCTATGCTGTCTGTCTGCCCACCCCCCTCCCTCATGCCCTCCAACCCATGTCCTTTGCTTCACTGTTGGTTGTGCCTTGTTGTTTGGTCGTGCTACCTTCTGCCTAAATGACGTGTCTGGGTAAATAGAGGATCTTGCTTGTGAATGTCTGATGGCATTAGGGAAAATGGTGGAGTGTATGCTGTGTCGTGACGGTAGGTGGAGTGCATGTGTATCATGTGCTGAGGCTACCATAATATGTGCTTATACACATCATCACACACATGTCCGCTTTAGCTTACATACATCATGTGCTGAGGCTACCATAATATGACGGAAAGTGGTGGAGTGTATCTTGTGTCGTGACGGTAGGTGGAGTGCGTTCGGCGAACGGCGGCGCATCTTCCCGCTTCAGCTTTCGCAGTGGTAGAATGGCCCCGAGGCGAGGAGGCGGCGGTCAAGCTCGTGGGAAAAAACGTGATGCCATCACTGAAGACACGGCGGGCGGTTCAGGTGGAGGACGTCACATGACAAAGACGAAACGGTCACGTCAGGACGCGGGTTCTGTCAGCGGCGCACACTTGGACGGAGACGGTTGGGGAAGACCAAACGACGGCGAAGGCCACGATTACACGGGATACCCCGCTGTGGAGGAGGTGGCGCGAATGGAGCAAGGCCAGATCACACCTGTTACGACGCAGCAAGGGAGAAATCGCGAAGATGCAGGAACTGGGACATCTGCGGCGACGCCACGTGTGCAACAAGCAGTCGGCGAACGAGGATCTGGAGGTGCAGCGACGCCACCTGTACAACAAGCACTCGGCGAGCGAGGATCTGGTGGGGGGGGAGACGCGGCCATGCTTGGAGATCAGGCGCAGGTTCGCGGCGCCGCTGCGGACGTGGGCGAAGCGGTGGGCACACCTCGTGAAACGGGAGGAGGGGGGCGCAAGGCCGAGGAGGCGGCGAGGACATTGGAGATCCCCCGCGCAAAGAAGAGAAAGGCGATGGAGGACGAGGAGCCGCTTGCTAACAGGGTCCGCAAAGGTAGAGTGGTGAAAGAACTGGCTGATCGGGCGAAACTATGGGTGGACGACAAGTCGTTCTGGACGTCGGGGGAGGGCCGCAGGCTGTACAACATTGTGAACGACGCACGGGAGTACCTTGTCGCCATCGCCAGAGGAGTTCCTTTGCCGAAGGTCCCCAGAAGTGTAGCCTTGCCGAGGTCGAACGTCACGGTGACGAGGCTCACTGATTCCGTGCAGTTGCAGGGGGCGATGAATCGCGTGTCGAAGTGCAAGAACGTGGTGATGCGTGTTCTGAACGGATGGGTCTTCAAGTCCGGAAGCACGGAGAGGGGGTACACTCTCGCCTTCCAGTACCTCCTCGAATCGGTGGCCACGGACTTCACGCGCGCGATGTGGCTCGGAGAGGACAAGAGCAACGTCATCAGCCCCGCCATTTGCACGCACACTTTGGAGCTCGGGATGGGCCTGCCTCTGTGGTACGCAGGTGCTCACATCGAAGACAGGCCCCGGGACAACGACATGGCTGCTTACCAGGAAGCGACTGTCATGCGACTGACTGCTGCGTTCAGCGCGGTGGTAGAAATAGGGAACGCGGTGGATGGAGGATGCATAAGTCAGGACCGTTTGTCCCATGTTGCAGAGAGCTTGAAGGTCCTCTTGGCGGCTTCCATGTGGATAATGCGATTGGCGATAGACGATCCGAGGTCTCACAACGAAGCTTTCTACCTCTGCAACCTCGTCGCGAAGCCCGTTATAGTGGGGTCCATGCACCGCAGCTTCGATCATCGTCGCCACACCTTGGTCGTCGCGACCACCGCAACCGAGCGACTGGGGAAAGCGCAGTTGACATTGGGTCACACACCGAATTTCATCCCGGACTGGGCTAAGTGCGGGGTGAGATTCGGCCATGACGCGAGTTTGAGTGGCCCCGACGAGGCGAGAGGGCTTCACTGGTTGGGCACAGGCCCTCCGGTGTGCGAAGACGACGATGACGATGCCGAAGACAACTGAACGCCACTCGGGAGGAGGACGACGACAACGACGACGACGACGAAGACAGTTGAACGCCGCTGCGGAAGAGGATGTTGACGGTGATGATGATGACGACGTCGATGATGACGATGATGACGACGATGATGATGATGATGATGATGGCGAGGATGATGATGATGATGACGACCACGATGATGATGATGGTGATGATCTGTCTCTTATACACATCTAGATGTGTATAAGAGACAGTGACGATGATGACGACGATGATGATGATGATGATGATGACGACGATGATGATGATGATGACGACTACGATGATGATGATGGTGATGATGGTGATGATGGCGATGACGACGATTGTGGTGATGATGATGATGATGATGATGATGATGTTGATGATGATGATGATGACGAWGACGATGATGATGACGACGACGATGATGATGACGACGATGATGATGATGATGATGACGAAGACGAAGATGATAACCGGTCGGAGTTAGCGCGGGCAAGGTTCTTTTTTCTGTTTGTTTTCGGTCGAGTAGGGCGCTGCTCGGCGTTGTAAATATAGTGGACTCGGAAGTGCGATCGGTTCTTCTACTTTCGTTTTTTTTTTTTTTTTTTAAAGGTGACATCTGTTCGCGTGATGGCGGATGACGTGCTTTGGTTTAGGAGGGGTCTTTGCGACAGTCATGTATTCCGCAATTTGCGGTGCATGTTCGATCTTCCGACGTTGTCTTCGTGATCATTCGGTGAAGAATACCATTCACAAGCCACATTATTCAAATCTGTGTTCTTTGTTTGTACGATGCGTTTTTAACGCGCTGTCCTTTTCTCACAAAGGGTTGTGCTTTTTTTGCCATCATTGCTGTTATGCGGCTTTTGCATGTCTTTTATTCTATCCCATTTCCGTTGGTTTCCAAATGCATATGTTAATGGAAAACCCAAATCGTCGTCTGCTTTTTTTTTTTTTTTTTTTTCACGCCGTCCGAAACATACCATTATGTTCGCTTCAGAAACTATGACGTTGAAGAACAACAGTTTGGCCATATAATCTGTTCGCTTAAGAATTATGACGTTGAAGATGAACAACATGGACATGCAATCTGTTTGCCTGCATTGTTAGCAATTCCACAAATTTGAGAAGTGCACCGAATGTGTGCCAGTCATCGAAAGACCTCAAAGCAATTGAAGATCAACATAATAGAGGTTCGCAGAATGGCAAAAAAAACAAAATCGACATCGTAAAAAAAGGTTATCCATATATTAAAACGTCGAACAACTGCACGAAGCACACAAAAAAGACGACGCAGCGCTACACACCCGAGTGGTCTCCCCACCGTGGAAACTTCCAAAACGACTGACGCCTACAATGCCGACTACCAGGCAGCATCACAGGCTACAACGCGACTTCGCGCGCGACATCAACTCTGTGGAGGCCAACAAACCGCCACACGGGAGGGGAGGGGAACACAAGTGGGGCGACCACGCTAAACATCCAAGAGCTTCAGAACCACCATAAAAATGCAGCACTGCTCTACACGGACCATGACACAAGCTAAGCTGCCAGCAGATCATACTACGACATCCTCACCGCCTGCGCCCCACCCCGCCCCCTTCTTCCTACCAACCCCCTTCGTCTAATCCGACCATCCCCTTGTTCTTCTGCATGCATCTACATCAAAGCCAGACGGTCTCGAAGCGCATCCTGCAACAAGTCGCCATCCACGTTCGTGCACTGCCGCCGCCCACCACTGCCATTCCCCACAATGCCCAAGTCGACTCTGCGCCGAACGCCGTTCTCATCAACCTCCCACAGGAGGTTCTCGTCGAAATCGACTCCCGCGTCCAGGAGGATGTTGTGGAGAGTGCAGACGACCACGAATTGCTGTGGCAAGGTCTGAAGGTTCGTCTTGTGGGTGCGCAAAAAGAGACGCCACATGCACTTCAGTCGCCCAAATGCCCTCTACACACCCCCCCGCGCCACCTTCTGCCGCGTGTCAAAACGCTCTTCGTCCGGACCCTGGAAGATTCCTCCGTACGGCTGGATGACCCATGGGCACTTAACCGGGTAGCCGTTGTCGCCCAGCAGGTAACCTCGCGTAACCACACCGTGTGGGAGATTCTCCGGAGGTGCACCGAAAAGGCCGTCGCTTTCCGCACGCCTCCACACATTGGAATTGTGCAGTACACAAACATCGTGGACACTTCCCGGGTATCCGACGTGGACGTCCAAGATACACAAATCCAAATCGACGACGACGTGTGCTTGGACGGAGAACTTCTGTTTGCGGTCGTAGTAGTTGTCGGACTGTGCTCCTGCTGGCTTGTCAATGTAGATATGGGTGCAATCGATGGCGCTGAAGCAGTTCGGGAAACCCTTATCTCGGAACGCGTGTAGAATCTGCACACGTCTACGCCCAATAGGCCACTTGATCGTGTCGGGGTAGGTGTTTAGAAGCGCCGCAGTGACGTCGCAGACATCCTGCAGGCCGGTCGCCCTGCCGATACCGAAGGCTGACGTCCCGCTCTCGTACGTTTCCCTCGACGCCCATCTGTACAACGTGAAAGCGATCAGCTGCTCGACTGGCAGCGACATCCTGTAGTGCGTGACAATCTTCTCCACGTGCACGGCGCAGGCGGCTACAATCTGGTTGAACATCGCCCTCGACATACGCAGCTTCTCCTTGTAGTAGTCCTCTGTGGTGTCGTCAGACAGCCGTAGGTCCTCCCATGTCCCGCCAGAGCGTCGTTTGATCCACCAACGAGATGTCTGGCGTGGGAAAACGCCAGAGTCGAGAGCGGAACACATCTGCACTACAGCTTCGCACGTCCCCACACAATCCGGCGCTTCCACAATGCTCTGCAACAGCGCTCTCTGTTTACGAAGCTGCAAACGCATGTCGCGGGTGGAGGACGACATTTCGCTCATGCTATTCAAGACGACAGCAGTCACGACCATCGCTACGGCGTCTCTCTCCTCTTCACGCAGACCGTCGCCACGTCCACGAACGTCCATCTTCGTTGAATGCCACCTCGTCGACAGCCTACCAAACACTTTGCTCGCTGCACCGGCCGAAGGCGCCACGCGCCCAACTATGCCACAGTGCGCCACGCGTCAGGGAGCAAAAGATGCGGCCAATGCTCCGCGATGAGGAACGACACCACGCACGCGTCTCCCGAGCACGTCGCTGCTGCTCGCCGCCGCCACAGGAGAATAGGCACGCCCGAGCCGACCGAACAGGACGCTGCTCTCCACATTAGCAGTTGAAGACTACGCCCGCCATACACGAAGTTGCGCCCGCTGGTGCACGTCGACGGATGAAACCGCGCATGCCAATGGTCGATGATGGTGGAAGACAACACAGACGCCCGACGTCAATATGCGCACGCTCGTGGACAATGGAGGAAGATAGCCCAGCGGAGGAGGAGGACAAGTTGTACCGCCTCCCGACATGCGCCCACTTGCTCACCACTCGCGCAGCCGCCATGTATGAATACTCTCGGCGAAAGGTTCGCCAACGCCGTCTTTCGGACGTCTTGCGTCGCCTGCCAGTCCTGCGCCAGCCACAAACGACCCCCCCCCCCCCCCCCCTCCCCGCCCCYCCGCGAAAATTTGAATTCGAATTTTCGAACTGTACGAAATGCGCGCTTCCCGCTGAAGACACCCGCACGTCGACGACCTACCACGCTGTGTACCACGGACACCACCCTACGAGCGGACAAACATCGATGACTCGACCGCTTATACGCGTATAAAACGGGCGGTAGGACAACTTTTAGGATGAGTCCTAAAAGACGATTTTTAGGATCGCGTGCAACCACTTCGCACGAAATCCTAAAAAAACTTTAGGACTGGTCCTAAAAAATTTAGGATTTTTTTAGGAGTGTCTAACGGGACCCATCGTCCCGAGGAACGAGTGCAACAAACGCGAGAAAATCCTCGGGCGACCCCGAAGATTTTTCCTCGGGTCCAAAGGATGCTACGAGGAGTGTCTATTACAGTCTAACGAGACCCTAAACCGAACGCGACTTCATTCGTCATCGTTAAAATTTCCGTAGTATCATGGATGAATGTACGGCGGGTGACCCTACCAGTTTCGGTTGGCCGCCGTGAGCAGCTTCATTAGAGGTCGAACACCGGGCAGTCGGTCGGCCGGCAGACGCTTCCCCACACCTTTCACTTTTCAGTGTTTTCACGGAGGCAAACAAGCACTGAAAAGACGTGCCTCACGCAAGCGGCCAGGAGATGCCCTCGGGGTCTTCTGCGCTGGAGATTTCGTCTCCACACGGCAAAAGTATTGGCGGGCCCCAAGAATAGTGAAACTACCGCGACGTGCTTTTTTTGAAACTCACCCCTTGAAGAACTACAGAGGTGGAGAAGACGAGCCCCATAAAAAAATTTAGTGAGAAAGCACTTGAATCAGCGGCGTCAACATTTCCACCAGTGCTAACAGGTCGCGGCGCGTGAGTCCACTAATACGCATTTGACATTTGTCGATACTACCTTCTTCCCCCGAATACAACGTACCGTCATTATAACTGTATTTGAGGGATGTTTCAGTCTAGATACAACTATAATGACCGTACGTTGTATTCAGGGGAAGAAGGTAAATAGCCGCCATCGATCTTCCTTGTCCTCAGATGGACGAAAGGACGGTAATTATATCTCGTCATCCCTGCAAGTGGGACCTCGATCTAGACCTGGAAGCTCAAGATTTGTTGTCCGAAAGTTACGGGTTGCGGTTGCAGTCTCATAACTTTTGGGGGGGTAATACTCTATGCTTATGGTTGTTTTCAATGTTTCTAGCTGATCGATCGGCCGAAGAAGAAAAAAAAAAAAAAAGGCGAAGGAAGAAGAAGATGTCGAAGAAGAAGAAGCAACAGGCACGAACACGAAGAACTTCGGAGAAGATGCGAAGAAGACTTACTACCAAGAAGCAAGATCGAGAAGAAGAAGCAGCAGCAGCAGAAGACGTAGAAGAAGACGAAGGAGGACGATGAGGCGGACAAGCAGGAGGAGGAGGAGGAGAAAGGGACGCATAAGCAGAAAAGGACGGAATAGATCGAGAGCAGTAGAGAGAAAAAGAATAGACAGGAGGAGAGAGAAAGCAACAAGACGGTCGGTCATGCAGTTTAGAAAAGCATAGGCAACCTCGTTTGTTGTTTCTGAAATTAGTTCCTATAAGAAGAAAAAAGATGTCGACAATTTTGGCAGCAAGTTATTCTTTGTTTTGCTTGCCAGCCCCTTGGTATGGATTGCATGCAATCGTAAGCAAGGGTGCCGGAAATCCGTGGTTTGTGTCGTGTCGCCTGACTCTCTTTTTTGTTTTTGTGTGTGTGATGATGTGGTATCGTTTCATATGACAACAGGAGTATAACGTGTATTTGAGGGCTTGTGGCAGGGTAATCTACACCGATGCCTCCCAGTGCCCTGCTGCGTGCGACTCCTCGGTCATTCTGCCTGCGAAGGATTGCTTAACGGTAAACGCTTATTACTACGGTGCCTAACCGAGCGATTTCACTGGAGTGCATGCATGTCAATTTAAGATAGATTAACAAAAGGTTAGACAACAAAAGGTGCAGCGATTTAACGGTAAACGCTTCTCCCTTAACCACGATCTCTACCTGCCCCTCACCCGGGTCAATGGCGTCAACCATTTTCCCTTTCAGTAACAATTAACAAAATATTAGACAGCAAAAGGTGCAACGATTCACAATCCACTCAGACACTTTGAAATCGTTGCAGCATCAATTCACAGGGTAAGGTGGGTTAGTAGGCACAAGTAGTTAGGGTTAGAACACAATCCCTGGGGTCAGTAATCAGACTGACTGAAGTCCAGTAAAATCATTCACTAACGATTTCCTATACCTGACACTGAACCATCATCGGAGTGGAAACATACACTTTCAGTGTTTTCCACAGATCACTAACATTCCAGAACCCATCAGAAAAGAAAGACAATCAGTGGTAGAGACAGATACAGACAAGAACTGACTTAAACATAGCAACAAATAGTAGCGATGCAGTAGACTGGTCCCTAACAGCCCTAGCCTCAAATTTTGTCGCTGTTGACATCAACATAAATACTCACTAACACAGCGATTTACTGTATCTCACTGTAACTACTCAAATACAGCGATTCTGGGCCAGCACTTTGGCACAGATGACAGATACTGAATTGCGATTCACCCCAAACTAACATACTTGAATTCTGACGGACAAATTCTAAGTTGTGACTGACCCTAGGTAGCACAGACTAAAAATAGACTCAGCGCAAAACCAAGATTCACAGTATTACTACTTTTTCTGTATAGAACTCATAGAATGATCATACAGGGTGCAGCGCAATACTGTCATACAGTCCCAGAACAGTTTTGAGTTAGAACAGGTCAATATATGGGGAGATATGAGTCAGGGTGAGGAGGAAGAAGATGACTATGACTGTCTTGCAGTCTACCAATTTCCAAATTGATTCCCTACTGACAGACAGACCACTAATTCAAATTCTATTGATACTATACTAATCGCTACTCAGAGGTTTACACGGAACACACTCACTTGTAGTGTTTGCCCCAGTGGATGATGAAGTTCTGGCTATGGCTGACAGAACCCTGATCTCGCCACTTGCTTGCAGATACTCCTCCACTGATCTCCATGCGTCGAATCTCCTGAAACTCGTTGATCTTGCTCAGTACACAATGGCGCTTCAACCCCAACTCTCAGATTCACTGAATCTGGCTCAGTGGCAATGGAGAACTCTCTTGAAGATATCTCGGGACTGCAATCCTCAGCCCCGGATGCTAAATTTAGCCCTGAGTAGGGTTAATTCAGCAGGAGATTGATTCTGCGATCAATCTTCCTCCAACGCTATGCTGGGTTTGAAGCCGCCACCCGGTTATCACCGTATTAGGGTGTAATTCGCCACCCTGAACCCAGTCATCAACTGAGCTCAGAAGGGTGGATGGCGAAATACCCCTGTTCTCGCCAAACCCTGTCAGGCGCTCAGATTGGCTTAGGGCGCCTGATCAATCGCACACTGATTCCTTGCAATCAACGCTGGTATGTCTTCTTCTCTACTGGATCTTCACTGAAGGTGAAGAACCGACATGGAACTTCTCGCCAGATAGAGCCTGAAGGAGAAGATGCCTCTGCTCGCTCAACCCTCAGTGCTCCAAGTCCAATCTCCGCTCTGATACCAACTGTTATGAACTTGGTTGTCTGACAATTTTCTCGCCACTCACACACAGGGTATCTCACACATGCCCATACATGCACAAGACAAAGGGGAGGAGAGACAGAGTCCACACTGCACACAGACCAGAGATACGCAGTGGAACATCAACCATGTACAGATGGGGAGAATACACACAGTGTTTCTCTCTCTCTGACAAACTCATAACAACCAATCACAAGATGACACTGCGAAGATCACAGTTGGAATATAACACTGATGATGAGCCAACTCAACTCAATTAACCCCAATTATCGTTRCAGAGTTTAACCCAGTGTCTCTCCACCTCAGAACCACACACACACCCCCTACTCCACTCTCAGAGTCCAGCGCTACACTGAAACTGCCTCCCAGAAGCAAGCGCCATCCACCAAGATGCAGATCATGGACTGCGATGAAGTCCCCAGTGCCGCTGAAACACTCTGACGAAGAAGAAGGCAGCTATAGCTGCCGCACTGCTACAGAAGCCTAGCGGAGTAGGGTGCCAGCAACAGCGCCCACATGTACTCGAGGAAGAGACTCAGAATAGCCCTGCCACACGCAGATACCCTCAGGGGTAGATGCGCTGAGAGTGCGCGAGCTTCGGCAACCTCTAAGATGTCGGCTATGGCTGTCATCACCAAGCTGAAGTCTGGGATACCGCCTCAGACCTTCAACGCTGCAGAACTTGGTTGGCCACGAATGCTGTGACGCGAAAATGAATTGCCAAAAGTCCTGAATCGGTGGGCCTAACCTATCTATAGACTCTCTAGACCTAGACCGGACTGACTAACCGACCGGTACCGTGGCTGTTTCGGCCTCCCGGCCTCTACCGGACCCGACTATAGGCTATCGGACCGTCTAGCAGTGTAGGCC